ATAAGCAGAGAAATGGTGGGAGTCCCAAGCCCATGCTTCTTAAAGAAAACTAAAAGACCCACTAAAACACCTCAGAAGTTAGGAGAAAGCTGAGCAGGGCAGACATTGAGGTGCTGCAGAATATTTTTGATGAAGGGGTGCATAGGAAAACGAAGGTCATTCTCAAAAGCAGCCACAAAGAAACAAACTCTTTTGTGCACTTGGGCAACGTATGGGGTGAATTTATCCGAGCACCAGAGTTGAACACCAAGGGGAAAATCAAAACGAGCACTAAGAGCTTCCATGAGAATAGGATCCACCCTATTGGGACCCACGAGCTCAGCATGCCTGAAGGCAGCCCCCATACCCGTTGTGCTATCAAGAATCCCAACCTCACTCACCTTGCACTTACCCTTGTCAGCACTAGGAGGTACATGAGAGGAAGATGAGGGGAGTTCCTTGGAGTCCACCTCGGTATCGACAACCTCAACACCGGAGAAGTTGTCAATCTCATCACCTACATCCCCTAAATCAGAATTTCTCTCGGAAGACCTATCGCCTAGGAGGGAAACAGAGGAGGGAGTTGCTCCAGAGGAGGCAGACATGATTGGCAAAGAGAAAGGCAAATCGAAAAAATTATAAAAAGGAGGGATACTAACTAAACACCCTTTGATAATCCTAGGGTCAGCACTGTACCTCCTGATAGTAAGAATTCATACAGTGGAGTTCCAATCCACATAGTGGGGAAGAGGAGATAGGCAACGATCGCGATTCAAAAGAAAAAGAACTGAAAAACCCAGAAAAACAATGGTCACCTCGGAGTCGAGGGATCCAGAGTGAGGAAAGGCAGCAGAAAGAGAAAGGGGCATAAAGAAGCGTACCTAGACAGGGAAGAAGAGCAACAAACAGCAGCCAAAGAACAAAATTGGAGGAGAGGAACAAAGCAGGACTTCAAGTCGAACCCAGAAAGCACAGTCTAGAGCAGAGAATAAGGGAATCGCGTGGAGGAAAGCCCAGAAATCACAGAGAGAAAGAGCCGGAGACGAAGGTGAACAGCGTAGAAGATGAACGGTATTTTTGTACATTCTCTTTTAGCCGTTTTGAGCATTTAAAGCTTGAAAGACATGGGATGAGGCGTGCGCGGGAACCAGGGGAGCCATGATTGCTGCTACTGTCAAAAAGCCCCTCCCACGTGCATCTCACATGTAGGCTAAGGTCAGCTAGGCGTAGGTCCGGTCCAAGGTAAAAGCAGCTCAGCCCATGCCCAAGCTCGCTTGGGCCAAGGGCTGGGGGGGCAACTGATGATACCTCAAAGTAAATCTCAAATGCCAGCTCAGGAGGTTAACTTTGCCCAGGAGGTCAGACTAGACGAACAGAACTCGGAAAAGTAGAGCTGGAGGTCCCTTCAAGATAAGCAAGGGTAATAACAACTAAGACAACAGTTGGAAGATCACGAAAGGTTCCTAAAAGTGTTAGAAAACAATAATCAAGGCACCTAATCTCAACCAACAAGATCTTCTCCTAGAATTAGGGAGAATCTCACAAAGTAAGGGCAAGAATCTCGGCCAAGATCCCACTTAGCAGGGAATGACCTTATAAATACCCGGTAACGCCCCCATCAGAAAGGGAGGACCGAATGACCAAAAAACCTATTCTATAAACCTTTGGTATGATCAATAAAGAGAAAGGAGTCATAGCCTCCATTGAAGAATGGATTAGCCAAGCTTCCTAGTCGGTGAACCACTATATTTCTACTGTGTTAATTCCCCAACTCTCCAACAATTCTCAGTATCATTCACTCGAGTCTAGTAGCTCAGATCCCAATAGTTCTAATATTATTTCTTTCATTTACTCGTCATCACAGAATTGTATCACGTTAAAATACGTCATCAGAGAGGAAGGCATCTGTGTTGGTGGTTCAACAAGAAGTCTTAGTAGTAGAAGATATGATTCATAGTCACAAAAACTCACCCACCCATGCTGTACGGTCCAATTCAATTTCTACTGGTCATTTGGACTTAGAGAAGTGTAGTAGTTGCTGCAGTACAAAACCATTTATCTCTGGAAGCTAATGTTACAATATCATTTGCATTAGAAGATGTTTTCACATCTTCACCCTTTACCATCCTCCCCCTCATAACAATTAATTTTTATATTTTTTTTAAAAAAATCATAACAATTAATTTTTATAAAAAATCATAACAATTAAAATACAAATTGTATGTTTGTACCACATGATATGATTGAATTATACAATGTCATTTGCATTAGAAGATGTTTTTGCATCTTCATCGTCCTCACTCCACCTTCATCCCGCTCATAACAATTAATTTCTATAATTTAAAAAAAAAAACTATAACAATTAAAGTACAAATTGTATGATTGTATAACATGAAATGATCAAAACCAAAAACAAAGAAATAAGTTAATAAAAGTTCATTGACTCAAAATTTAAATATCTCCAAACCTATTGCCACACAGATATATACATATATATAATTTAATGGGTTTAGCGGGACACAGTAAGGATAAGTTTTAGTCCATTATCGATTCTATCCTTGCACGGGTTTATACTGATATTCTCATATACATCCACCGTCAAATACATATGATTCATCTCTAATCCAAACGAGACGAATTTAAACGAATTCCCCCTCCCCCTTGTTTTTTTTTCTCTTCCACTTCCAACTCTAACCACCACAGACCATAAACTAAAAAGAAATCAAATATTTTCTGCCTACAATAACAATTAAATGTTTTAGTCATGCTAAAATTGGGTAATTACTAAACCACCTACATTTTATGTTATGTTAGAAATTATCACCCCTAATTGATATAAGACCTCTCATTTGCAAAGACTATAGCACTCACACATTACCTACAACTGTGAAAATTTTCATTTTTTTTATTTGACTAGTGCTATTTTTACTCATTTTAGGGCCGAATTCAAAGACGTAATATATTGTCATCCTTAGACTAAGAATTAATTGAGTAAACTACATTGATTCAGGACAACATATAGTAAATAAACCTTTCATCATCTGTAATTTCAAAAGTTATACTTATGCTCTGTTTGGTAGAGATGATGGAAAGTAAGAGAGATACACTTTCTATCCTTCAAGGATGGAAAGTAGGAAGAATACATTTTCCTTCTTTTGTGTTTGATTGGATAGATGTAAAATAAAAATAACTTCTTTTTTTTTTATGCTGACTGAGATTAGGGGTGACAATAGAGTCGACCTGTGTCGTGTCAGATTCGTGGTGAGTCATTACGAGCTGTGTCGAATATTATTCAAACCTAACTTAACTCATTTAACTAATTGTGTCGTGTCGAGTAGCGAGTTGACCTATTTATTTTCGTATCGAGTTCGAGTCGTGTCATCATGTTAAGTCCAAAATTTTCACCCTTAGTTAAGATAGAAAAAATATTTTTTTTTAACTTAAAATTTTTATTTTTTTTATTTTTTTTAAATTTTAAAATTTACTTTATTTTTTATTTTTTTAAAAATTAATTTTTAAAATTTTTTAAAATATATATACATATTTTATCATTGTATTTTTATATAAAATTAATGTGTACATAAGATAAATAGACAAATAAAATACATCTCAACATAAATAATTAACTTTCTATTCACTTTCCTTCCGATTTTGGAAGGATTAATTTTGGTGAGTTGGAAGGAAAATTAATCCATTCACTTTTCATCCTTCCTACTTTCCTTCCTTACTAAACATGATGTTTTATTTATCCCTCCAACTTTTCATCCTCCCATTTTTCTATCGTACCAAACGGAGTATTATGTTCCGTTTGGTAGGGAGGATGGAAAATAGCAAGAATGGAAAGTAGGAGAGATACACTTTTTATCCTTTAAGGATGGAAAGTAAGAAGGATACATTTTCCTTCCTTTGTGTTTGGTTGGATTAATTGAAAATAAAAAATTATTTTTTTTTTGTGCTGGCTAAGATTAGGAGTGACAATAGAATCGAGTCGTGTCGTGTTAAATTCGTGTTGAGTCATTACGATTTTGTGTCAAATATTAGTCAAACCTAACTTTAACTCATGTAACTAATTGTGTCGTGTCGAATTACGAGTTAACCTATTTATTTTCGTATCGAGTTCGAGTCGTGTCATCGTGTTGAGTCGAAAATTTTCACCCTTTGTTAAGAAGGAAAAAAAAATATTTTTTTATTTTTTTATTTTTTTAAAATTTTTTAAAATATATATACATATTTTACCATTGTATTTTTATAAAAAATTAATGTATACATAAAATATATAAACAACTAAGATATATCTTAACACAAATAATTAACTTTTTATCCATTTTTCTTCCGATTTTAGAGGGACTAATTTTGGTGAGTTGGAATGAAAGTTAATTTATCTATTTTTTCATCCTTCCTACTTTCCTTCTTTACCAAACATGATGTTTTATTTATCTCTCCAATTTTTTGTCTTTCTAACTTTTTATCCTACCATTTTTTAATCATACCAAACGGAATATTAGTCTACATTGCCTAAAATCAACCAAAATCCCTCGCAATTTCTCTAAGCTGTGTTGACAAGTTAAATCAGGCCTTAACATAGCACCTATTCTTAACCAATCCCAAGTGTCAATTTTATCCGTTAACACGAACTTGACACGAATTCAATCCAACATAAAACTCAAAAATAACACGAGTAATAAATTAATCAAATTAAAATTTAACACGATTAATAGATATTGTAGATAAAACATAATTATTTAACGAATATTATAGATAGAAAATAAGAATTTTAGAATTTTTTAAAAAATATTATATAAATTATTGTCAAATTAAATAATTTTTTATTAATACGAATATTGACATGAATCGATATGTAATAAAAGTGGTACGACTCACGACCGAAAATAACATGACACGAGGATTGACAACCCTAAACAAATCCCAAAAAAAAAACCAAAAAAAACACAAAAAACAACAAAAAAGGCCCAAAGAGCGCCTATCCCATTGTTTGAACAAAGGCTCAACAGAGCAGCTTCCAATAGTAACATTGGAAGATCGACCGAATAGTATATTATTCCATAGACAAGAAAACAATGGATGCGGAGAGAAGATGAAAGCTGATCTGATCTAACATTTGACAACACGCTCCTGCGCCCGTGACACCCTCTGTTTTCGTCTCTTCTACCCTTCCTTTGAAAATCTCACCCACACTTGCCCTGCAAACCACAGAGCCCAGTCAACATCCCCACCTTACACGTTTCTTCTTTTCCACATCCCGAAAAAGCTACCAAATCAAAGCTAGAAGAAGATATGAGACCAGCAATGGCACTCAATCCTTTTACATAGGCGTACAATGCCATCTCATGTCTCCAAAAGCCACCATTTTCTGTTAGTCATATAGTCATGTATATTTGAATACGAGATACCATCATGGTTCCTAAAAAAAAAAATTTGATACCATGACATGCAGAAAATAGTTTTAACTATAAATCGCACTTACTTAGATTTATCCGTGACCATTAATGGTTAAAACACAAGAGACTCGATACCAAAACATAACTTTCAGATACCTCAAGTCCCCTTGGATTGTTGCTTCATGCTTTAGGCAGGCAGTATACTGATTTCTTCAAAAATCATATAAGAATTGAGCCCACAAGGCCACCTTCTGGTAAAACTCCCCACCATTATGAAGTATCATGAAGGAAGAATGGACAGAAAGAAATTACAGTATTAACAAAGTTAATCTACTTTTTTTTCTTTTATATTAGACAATATAATACCACCACCACTAGTACTATCAAGTAGATTTAAAGTCCACAAACATTAGTTAAACCTTCAGCAAAACAAAGTAAACAAAATTAATACATCATCTTTTATCAAGCTAGATGGCAGTGGACTTGCGGACGATATATCGATAAGCAGCAACCTTTCTTTTCCGGGAGGCGCTGTTGTCAACAGACAACACCATTTTGCCAGCTTCTTTAGGAGTGAATGAATTGTGCATTGCCTCTTCCGTGGTGGCGATCTTCCTCGGCTTCTCAACGGCAATGGTGTAGCTCCCCTCGGCATTTGGCACAAATTCAGCATTGTACTCTAAATCCCAGCCTCCCACCACTATGTCCCATGTAATTGTTGCACCAGCCTACTCCACACCCAAACAAGCCAACACACAACAATTAAGAACCAACTAGTGTAAACAATGATCTAAACAAAGTTGAGGCCATTGATTAGGATTTATGGAATCATTTAAATTGAATCTTCTAATGACCCAGACACTTAATTTCTAAGTATTTTATTAAGCTATGATTTACTGGAAACTTATAATAATAGGAGGGGGGCAGCAGCAAATAGCAGAATGAACCTCAATGCCCTCAATTTGAATGTTAACTTTTTCTCCCCCTTTCACAGTGAACTCGGAAGCTGGTTTTGGTGGTCCATTTTGTAAGTCACTGGGTCGACTCAGTCCACCATACTGAACTGGAACATCCTCTGGCCTAATAAACCTGATCAAAGAACCAAGCCCACTTTAAATAAAGGACCCAGAACAGTAAAATGTGAAGATGATCAATAATCAGAGAAAACAGGATACAGGAAATTGGGGAATAGCAGAACAAAACCCCAAAAATCATAAGAGCATTTAACAAATGAAAAGTAAAACAATCCTAGAATGGAAAATTGAACAGAAAGCAAGATGTTTATTCTATAAACAGAAAACACTGATACAACCGAACATAAAAGGCATTAAAGATGATCTATCAAGAGCAAAATAGGAGCAAATCAAAGGGTGAACATAAAAAAAAATGAACGTAAAAAAAATGAACAAAATGAGCCAAGGTACTTACTTGTAAAGAGTCTCTGCAACATTTCCTTCCTTAGAGATCACAAACTTGCTCTTAGTTCTTTGAGTCAGAAACGGACTGAACATCGAATACAACACACTAAAGTACCATGGAACATTGATAAAAATCTACACGCAGAAAAACCCAAAAATAAAAAATCAAGGGTGATCAAATCACATTAAAGCTCTACAAATGCAAGCAAAAAGGCCAAGCAAAGAAAAATATAAAAAATTTAACCATGTCTGAAGTATCTGCTCACCTTGCGAGCGACCATTTCAGGGTAATTGTCTTGAAATAGAGAAAGGATGTGATTAGAGGCGACCCTGAGCTCTCTTTTGGGCATGTCTTTCAGGTCAGTGACCTGAATGATCGAGTTAATACCTCCGGGTTTAAAATGCAAGAGCTTAATGCCTCTCTCAAGAACTTGAACTCTCCACCTCAAGAATTTCTTCAGCTTCTCATCATCTCCGAAGATCCTCTCATACATATCTTTGTCCTTAAACATCCCATAAGCATTGTAACAAAGTGGGTGCCCCTCTTTATCATAGCCATGCATATAAGCAACAACACCCTCAAGTTCTTTGAAACCCAAGTCTTCTTCCAAAATGTTATCAGCTTCAAAATCTTTTCTCCAAGACAAGCATTTGAGCAACATTTGAAGCGAGTCAGGGACTCTGAAATCTCTGGCACGAAGAAATTTCAGCAGTATCACATCTGCTCTCTCATCTCCACCTAAAAGTGGAATGCCCCACATCGAGTCAGGACCATTGGACGCCACGAGCCTCTCTTTGAGCTCTTGGAGAGCCTTTTTCTCTGAGGATTTGAGATGAGAGGCAAAGTATGTGTCTTCTTTGAAGGATGGTGTGCGCAGTGTAGCAGCTTCCATTAAAGAAGTCACAAAGCCTTTCTTGAAAGGCGATGGCTTCGGGGAGGGCTCTGGTTGCGAGTCTTCGAGCGTTTGTTGGACGGAGATGGGTGATGAGGCCTCCATTGAAGGATCCGGATGAGACCCACCAGTTGGAATCTTTGAATGAGAAAGCTTGAGCCAAATGCGGGTAGTGAAGAGAGTGATGGAGCAGGAATTGTGGGTTCAAGTCCTAGTTGTATATATTTGTGTGTGTCTTTTGTCTTGGGAGATAAGGGTTCTGAGAAGCTCTGCTTTCGATTCTCTGATGGGGGCAGGGAGGAGAGAAAAGGAATGGACAACTTATGGGAGGGAGAGGGACAAGATGAAAGAGAAAGCAGAGAAAAAGAGGGAGTGAAAATTATTGTTGTGGAGGAGGTGACATGATTAGTGTGGATGTGTGTGTTGAGCTGCAATGCAGTTTCAAGTTTTGAACTTTCAAAAGCGGCTTTGGAGTTGGGACTGAGCACCACGTGACAAGGGAAGGACTTTAATTTATGGCCTAATCCCAAATTGCACCCCCAAAAATCTCTCAAATCTTAATTTGTACTCTTAAAATTTAAAAATATTAATTTATATTTTTAAAGATATAAATTTATATTAATGTGCATCTAAATCTAATAATCATCGAATTTTCCATCTAAAATTGAATCACATGAGTGGGAGGAACATGGGCTCAAGTGTAAAATCCAAGTATATTGGTTCACATAAAACTCTCACACATTTTGGTGCCAAGCATGTTGGATTTTATACTTAAGTCCGTGTACCTCTCACCTTCCACTCACTCACGTGATTTAGTTTTAGACAATAAATCAGATTGCAGTTAGCCTCAAGTTCACACGAATATAAATTTATATTTTTGAGATTAAAAATTAATATTTTAAAATTTTGAGAGTATCAATTGATATTTGAGAGATCTTTTGAAGTACAATTTACGATTAATCTTTAATTTATAGGAGTTATTTGAATCAAATTTAAAAAACTAGTACAATATGATTTCACTTAAATTTAATTAAATTGAGGTAATAATAATTGAGTAGATATTAGATTGATGCTAAATCTTGTACCAACGGATTATTAATCCAATAATATTTTTTATCTTGTAATTAAGAATTCAAACACTCCTCTCCTCTCAAAACAAAAAAAATGCAAGGATATAAATGGTGGAGCGAGCCGAGCCATGAATAGAGCCGAGAATGGGTGCGCCTGTAAGAGGAGAGGGAGGGGGGGTGTCAGGGTCCTAAGGTGAAGTCACTGGACACGGATGATTAGGCCTGAAAATTGTGTCGAATAGAGCGATTTTGTATCGAGAGGAACAAATTTATGTCAAAAAATTCTTCATTTATATCTTATTTGTTTATATAAATGAGTTCAATTATCATATTTATACACGAATCGTTTATTAGACGGGTTATTCAATACAATTCGTGTGTCACCCGCTAAATAAAATAATAGATTAAAGTATTTTGAGTTCACACAAAAAATATTAACTCGTTACACAATACACATGTTTAATTTATTTACTATAATAATAAATCCTAGATAAGCAAAAAAATAAAAACAAAAATAAACATTAAACGATTACTAAATTTCAACGAGTCTAAGAGATGGGAGGTGTAAGTTGAGACAGAGGTTGAGACACCAAACTTTTTTAAAAAAAAATTATAGTATCATTGTTAACGGGTTGAAACAAGTTTATGGGTGAAACACAAATTCGGTTCATTTATTTCATAGGTATATTGAGTTAATTCGTTAATCACTCAAATCTGTTAAGAGTATACTAAAATTCGTATTAATTTTGTGTCAATTTTATGAATCGTGTCTAGAATTATCAGACTTACGTATGATTGAAAAAGTAAAAGGGAAAGCCATGTCTAGAATTACCAAACCTACGGATGATAGCGAAAGTAAAGGGGGGTGGGGGGGGGTGGGGGGGGGGGGGGGGGTGGAGTGAGAAGAGGGTGACAGTAGTAATTAATGAGGTTTTTCCTTTTGAGTCACCACCACAACCACACCCACAGATAAGAGAAAGGACATAGGGGAAGAGACCCCACATTGCTTTTCCATTTCTTCGCTACAGTGGAGATGGGGTCCAGGGACCAGGGTCCAGAAATGGGGCCCAGTTCCACTGGAACACGCCTCCTAAGTTTGAATTTCTTGCTTAGTTTCACAACTTTTCAGGAGGAGGTATTTCTTTTCTTCTTTTTTTGAATAATGCAACGGACAGGCATAAACATAGCAATTATTTAACGATCTTATTTAATAATTTAATTATTTTTTTGTTATTATATTAATAGTGAATTCTACCATTAAACATGATTTATTATTAATTCAATAATTATAATCAATCAATTTACTAAATAAAATCATTAAATTAGATTTTAAAAAAAAAAACACTTCCCGTAAACAGAATATTGTCAATCCTGTCGAATCTGACCGCTTCACAGGCTCAGCTACAGCTTCTTGACTGACGAAATAAAGCTTTTGCATCAATCTAATACCTACTCATCGCTTCTCAGGTACAGTAACATTCTGCCTGTTTTTTAACCAGAAATTTCTCCAAGACAAAATTATTTCAGACTTATTTTGTAAGGAAGTAAATGAAACATACGTCTGCAATACTCGTAAATTATAAATACCAGTTAAATTTAAGAAATACTATTGAACGTCAAACTCTTGACTTATGGGATTACAATTTATTCAGGTCTAACTCTATACTGTTAGGCTATCTGTGCAAATTAATTAATTAATTAATTATCTATTCTTTTTAATATTGATATATGCAATTGGTGTATAATAACTCAATATAAATTTAAAGATTACGAGTTCGAATTTCGTTATTTTTCTCATCTAAAAAAAAAATTTCAAAAAACTTTATGAGGGCAAAAAAGGCCGTGGTAAAGACAATGCAATTTGACGTAGAAAGTAGCCAGTTTTACGGTTGTCTTTTACTGTAATATTTTTACTACTAAACCATATATATATAAAATGATTAACTTCAAAGAAAATAGATGAGAGAGCTCTGGGCCCTATTTGCGAGGAAAAGCCAGACAACAGCTCTGGAGTGTTAAAACAAAGGTCCCATGAATGCTTAGATTAGTGTTAGTTAGGGGATGTATGTTAGTGGGAATTTCTGGGGATCCAAAGTAAGCTGTTTCATCTTCTGCTTCAAGGTTTCCATCTGCCTCTTTATGTAGGATGTACTCTTGTCCTTTTTTTTTTTTTTTTTTCAACTGTTAGAGATATTCGTGTTAGAGATATTCGAGTTAATATATGCGTATTTTAACTAATTTTTTTGGTAGTTCGATCAAATACAAGTCATTCATGTCGGAACGAAAAATACTAATGAGGGATAAATTTCTTGTGGCTTAATCGTAAAGAGTTGCCAAAATTCAAATTTAAAATGCTTAAATTTATAACTAATATCTATTATCAGTTGAGCCATACATTAAGATTATCTACGACCGACTCTTATCCTAACCAAGTTAGGCCCCATGCATTCTCTCTAATTAATTGAGATTAGAAATAAATTTTCAAGTTTTGAATTTAAATTTTAATAATTACACATGCCAAAAAAAAAATTAGGATAATTAATGTATGTGGTTGTAAATAATTGAATGCATCCAAGATTTAATTTAAATTATAATTAATTATTAGACCATTTTTAGCTATTGGTTCAAGGTGAGAAAGTTAACCACATGGATTCATTCGGTGATGGAACAAAAGAAAACACAAAAGTCCGCATATTTTGACTTGGAGTTGTCTTGGTCGCACAAGAAATTTGGGTTGACAAATGTCTTTATTTTGTGGTGATTAAAGAAATTTGAGTTATTCCACAACTAAATAATTAATGCAGATGTTCCTTGCTTAACAAAAAAGTAAAGTGATTAAATTGCTTAGGCTTCTTAATTTTGGTTTAGGGTTCTCTAATCATGAAAAAATAAAGACAAAAGTTTTAAAATTGTTCTCATACTTATCCATTCGTCCTCGCTGATCATGTAATGTGAAAATCGATCTATTAGACGATTAGTGTAGTTATTCATATTTCATTTTGATGCATAAAAAGTCCCATCAATTTTATTTAAGATATGTTTTTTCCCACATCTCACGAAAAGGGTCACTAAGCAAACGTGGACATAATATTAATCAGATAAAATTTGGACCTTATTAGCATGGGGACCCGTGGAAATTGAAGAAGTTAATAATAATAATAATGTTTTAAAGTTCAACAAATGACAAAGTAGGTTCTTTCACCTTTTACTTTACACGCTTAGGATCAGTTCACTTTTGACTTTGTGTGACAAGCTTCTCAATTCATGTACTTCACTTTAATTATCACCCTTCTCTGGAAAAAGGTTGGTGTGCTCAGATTTCAATTAATATATGAGGGCTGTTAATCAAAATTACCACCGAATGAGGCTGATTTGTAAGATCAACCGTGGAAGAATGACGTTTGACTTGATGAACGGAGGAGGTCACAATATATCTCCATCATCGTTCTCTCTCGGTGATAAATAATTAGGTTAATGAAAATATAAGGTGACCCCATTAAAGAGAATATTCAATAATACATCAAGTCTCTTGGACTTTATGTCATAGCATCAACCCGATTAAGAGTTAAAAGATCGTATGAGGCCTAACTCAAGTAATGGGCTTAGCCAACTCGAATAATAAGGCTGGCCCAAACAAGACCTAGCTCGAGTAACGGGTCACACCATCTTAGAATTTCAGCCACGCTATCCTGAATCCCTGTTTGTAACTAATAAAAAGATCTCCATGTAACTATTCCGTCCGTTGCGAGAATGATACCCCCTCCACTGAATTTGTTTATCTATTACGAATATGACACCTTAATCTGTTAGGAGACGTGTATAAATTGTAAACCCTACCTATACATAGGGGGCATCTTGAATCTGGCATATGACACAGCTTTCATTACTCTCATCTCTACACTCAAACATCAATAAAACACCCCCCCAACAACCAAAGTCCTTCAAAGTGGAGTAAGTCATCCTGATCGAATCATTCTATATCTATGTATTGCTTATGTTGATTTCATCTTTATATTTACTATATTTATTACTTATATTAATTACTCGACATGCAGTGTATAAAACCAAATTATTCATCATCAGTACCTACAATCTCTTAGACTTTATATTCATCATTTTTGAAAGCGGAAAAAATTACCACCTCGAGCTATTACTATATAGACTCGTTTAGTAGACGTATTATGAGAGAATTAAATATTGAATTGTACTATTTTTTATTTAATCGGGTCTAATACTTTGTTTGATAAACAAATTTAATATCGTATTAATTTCAAAAACGTGTACTAATCGTATATTTTTCATACGATAAACCTGTATTATAAAGAT